TTATTTCTAAGCTTTGCACTTCTTACAAAAACTTGGGCTATTTCTGAGGCTTTCACTGTATGGGATAAAGATGGGAGATGGGGTAAACATCTTCCACTTGTAACTCGTCTGTGTTTAACTATTTGTTCGGGGGGGGGGGACTACTGAACACCATTAAGTAGAGCAAGATGGAATGGCTGTTAGTGTCTTTTGATTAGAAACTCTGGGATCTAATTTTCTAGAAGCATTTTTAATTTACTTTATTTTGCTAGCAAGCCTTTAATGGATAAGCATCTCCACATATTCTCCTCAGGTTTTAAACCTGTGGAAAGTATTGCCAGATGGGTTTTCTTCTGAAGTTATTATGTCCCCAGAATAATGCTTCCGCTCAAAAGATTTAACTGTTGAACAGAGGCTTTTGGAGAGGAAAGGGTAAAAAAAAAGGAGGTCAGTAAAGTCTTTGTTTTTTTTTAAGTTAAAATTTATGCATTGAAAATCAGAACACTTCTGGAAAAGTCAGCTTAATCCACCCAGTCTTTAAAAATTACTTGAAAGCACTTCCCTTCCAGCTGTAGCAAAAGTCTGCCAATTACAATCCTGTGGAGAGGATGGAATTTCTTCTGACTCCAAACTAGGGTCTGATTCTTGCAGATAATGCAGGAGATAAATTCATTTTGATCAAGTTACAAAAAGAATTCTGAAACTAGAAAGCTTGTTTACATACATGTGGATTTGGCTACCATTGAAAACGGGTGGTTTGTGTTGACACTAAGTTGATAAACGCAGAGGTTAATCACCTTTAGCCAAACAAGGTCAAAAGGATACCAAAACATGTATCCTGTTTAAGGGAAGCACATGTTTTGAATCCTGATATAAACATCTTCCAGTGAAAGAATAGCACTCACACTAGCAAAACTCACTGCATTCATCAATTAGCAAGGGCAGCTTGTAGACTGGGAGAGGAAGGGTGCTTCACCTCAACATTTCAGAAAGAGACACTCTAACAATGCCAATCACAAGCTGCTTTCATAAAACAGTAGGCTCCAGTGATTCCACTGAAGGATCAACCTTCAATCCCATGTTTCAATATGAAATTATTATTACCACTTTTTGTTTCTTTCTTCTACTCTTTTTTTTTAATCTTCCTGGTATCCTATCTTAATCACTCCAAATTTGGAAAGAAAAAAAAGACAAGGTTATCTCTAGACCGGATATATATGTCTTTGGGAAAAATGAAGTGAGAAGGCAATATGTTTTAGAAATGATACCCTCTCCAAATTAGGAGCTTTGTTTAGAACTAGGTGGCAAAAAGGAAGGCTTGCTCTAGATATATATCCAACTACACAGTTCAGCTTCTTGGCCGGAAAAAGAAGTATTCCTAGTTTCACTTTCTACCAGTTTAGGATTTGAGTAGGGCCAGATTACACCAATGTAGAAATAGCTCCATCGTTTCTTCAACCTATGGCCTCAGTGAGTGATGGGAGGGTAAGAACATGGGGGGAAAAGATATTTCTCTCAAGGTTCTGTCTGATAAGGTCTCAATAGTTTAAGTCCAACAAATCTATTTTCCAGGTACATTAATAGAATTTAATTGGTGAGTTCATTTCTAGCACCTAGCTCTCAAGATTGCTGTTACAGCGCCAGATAAGCATAGCAATTGCAGCTTTTCAAATGTTTGCTTCCTCTTTGTTTTTCCTGATCAGCATCATGAAGCTATATTGCAAATAGTAACTGAAATTGTTTGCTTCTTCCTGAACTAACCAAATTATTCTATTTTGTCTTTTCAGGAAAACTGGCTGGGATCTAATGGGCTATTCTCCTATATGATTACTTTGGTCATTAGAATGGGGGGGGAGACAATCCCCCCTCTTCCATCTCCAAAACTGGCTTCAGAATACAAGCCCCAGAAGGAGATGAAAGGTAGAGGAGAAGACAGTTTGATCATACCAGTACTGTATAGTGGTTTCCAAACATGAATCTCTGAATGTTGTCCAACTACAATAGTATCCCTAGATAGTATGGAAATTGTGCACTAACAACGTCTTTGGATCCAAATTTGGGGATCACTGTGCTACTGACTACTGGTTACTGAATTCTGCCTTAAACTTTGTCAAAAATATAAACAAATAGTGATTGATGAATCAGCAAGGAAAGATCCTAGAATAGATTAAACTAAGTTGCTTGTAAAACAGACACTCTACAAGTAAAATGTGATATTTCTCTATTGAATGTCAGTTTTCCATCCAACTTGGCAATATTCCTATCATAACTTTTGATATCCTGAAGTATGACATCAAATCGTATTTGATGATTGAAATATAATGATTTCCTCTTTAAAGCACAGACCCCTGATTGCAAATGAAAACTGAGAGGTTGAAAGATCTCTCAAAAATTAACGTAAAATACTACAGTACAAGTTTCATTTGATATGTAAAACAGAACTGTTCTGCACTCGTGACAGCTATGAGTTCTGTTATGAAGAAAATGGTGATGAAAGAGTTTTAGAAAAGTGTGTTGTTTTGTTTTTGTTTATATTTCCATCATATGCAGAGTAAGGGACAGCACTGAAATACCATACTTAAGCACACCTAATTCTGCCAAAGCATGGGCTGCTAAGTAATTTAATTGACCTAAAGAAGAACAGGCAAAGCATAAGTTTGCAGGAGACAGATTTTTGGAAGCTCCAGACCACATTTAGAACATTTGCTCCATTTGCAACCCACATGCTGACACAGCACCCCACCCTTTCTCTGGTTCCAGATCTTGTTAAGATTTTGCTTAATAGAAAAGTCAGATATTCATCTCCTTTCAACCAAGCAAACATATTTTTGAATAACTCAATATGTGAAATATAACATGATTCCAAGGGTTTCCTTGTTTTAATTATTTGTATCAGCTCTCAGAATGTTAAACCTATGAATTCTGATCAACATAAAAGGTAGGTTTACCAGCAAAGCTTCAAGTGGAGGTTAAGAAAAGTCCTCTCCTCTCAATGGATCAGTGGGGCTGAAGCAGAAAGGTGTTACAAGTTATGCCAGGTGCCATGTCTACTTAACAAGAGAAACTAAAAGATGATTCTTCTTTTCAACTTGAATCCTATCCTAGCAGATATTCCACATTTCAGAAAGGAAAAGAAAACATCAAGAACGTTTTCTATTCTTAATAAAAGGCAACCTTTGCTTATTAAATATCAGTTAACACCAGGTGCTGGAAAGAGAGTGATCAGAAAAGCTACAGGATCTTGTGCCACCAGCACTCTGGTTCATTGACAAGCTTGGCAGACTAAGCTGTAGGTGTTAAGGCCAACACCAGGCTGCAGTGCCATGCTGGGTGAAAAAAACCCAGAAGCCAATCTAGATCCAATAGCTCAACAAAGCCTGAAACCTAAGAACCACTTAGGTTTCCAGTGAATTTCCAGTGAAAATAGTGGAGCACCTGGCTTGGATCTGACTGCACCTTTACTCCTAATCCCTTAGTTTTCAATCTGCCTTCCTCAAACATCACCTTTGGTCTAGTTCTAACCATTCTATTTCCTATCCCAGAGCTTGGAAACATTGCTTTTCTGTATTGCTACTCATAGAACCTCCTGGAAGAACTTTTGAAGACCCACAAGTTGCTCACCCCATCTGCCTATCAAACAGTGTGTACTTAATTGTTGCCATATATTCCTCTAAGGTCAGACTGAGATAGTGGTAGCAAGATTTGATTGTACTGTTTCCTGGCTAAGGCACTGTGAGGAATATGGCACTGTAGGCAAATGCATTCTAATGAGATGTCTCTGTGACAAATATCTACTATATTTTTTCCAGGCTATGCAGGCAAATTAGAAGAGCTGCAGTAAAGAAATGTTACAAAGTTACTAATGATAAATAAATAATGATAGACTTTGGCAGGAAAGCTTCTCTCACCCCTTTAAAGAAATGTTACAAAGTTACTAATGATAGACATTGGCAGGAAAGCTTCTCTCACCCCTTGTTCTCTTGTTATGAAGTTTCTCCAGCGTTCTATAGCAAAGCAATTCAAACATTTATTTTTCTTTTTGATCACTTCTATAATGCATAATGACTTGATGTATCTTACCATACCAAACCAGCAAGCTAAAAGAGCTAGGAAAATACTGGTACTGTATTACTTCTGTAATACAGTACAAGTATCAATGCATGAAACGCTATAATGATATTTCTAGTAGGCACTGTTGCCCTCAAGTCCATAAAAAAGAAAGAAAAAGATTTAGAGGACAACCATATTAATGAAAAAATGAGGGAAATACTATGGGTTTGATTTGCATTTTTTTTCTCTTGATCACATGACATAATGGGAAATGCAAATCAACCCGGAACCCACATCCCCAATTTATAGCTTTTCTTCCCGAGCCTCTTCTACTCTTTAAAAAGTTGAATTCTTTGGCTTCAAATAAAGCATGTGAACACTTGAACCAATGCAGAAAGGATGAGGTGAGCATGGACACGCACACGAAACCATCCCCCTTGCCTCTTGCCTCATTAGTACATGCACACACAGGGCAGCACCAGCACGTACTTCCCCAGCAAAGCCTGTATCCAAGACTCTTTTTTATTTTCCTTGCTAGTTCCTCAACTAGCAAAGCTCTGAGTTGGAAGCTGGCAATCTAGACAGGAAAAGCCTATCTCATTGCCTACTTTGAACAGCACCATCTGCCAGGCTGTAAGAATAACTGCAAGCAGTTCAATTTAATGGTTGTTGTGGGTTTTTTGGGCTCTTTGGCTGTGTTCTGAAGGTTGTTCTTCCTAATATTTCATCAGACTGTGTGGCCAGCATCTTCAGAGGACAGGAGTAGCACTCTGTGCTCAATTTAAGTCTACTTAAATGAAACAGACTTGAATTCTCTGGTGTGATTTCACAATGAGAGAACACAAATGAATTTACATTTTTTCTCACTGTGTAGTCACACCCTTAGAGAGGTAGGTTCTCATATAAAAGGATATTAAAACATAGTACTGAATGAAAAAATGGTATAGATGATGAAAATACCAGTCACTAACCTTCATATATAGTGATGATATGAGGATGGTTGAGAGATGACATGATCTCAATCTCCCGTCTGATGTGAACCATATCTTGTTCATCCTTAATTTTGTCCTTACGGATGGACTTTATTGCAACCTACAAATTCAGGAAATTGAGCATTACTCTTAAAACAAAGCAGATGAAAGTAATCCATTAGGAGAATTCATATGTCAGATGCTGGCAAAAACATGGAAGTAGCAAAAATAAACCTTAGAGCAGCAGTCTCCAACCTTGGGCCTCCAGATGTTCTTGGACTGCAACTCCCAGAAGCCTTTACTACCACCTCTGCTGGCTAGGATTTCTGGGAGTTGAAGTCCAAGAACATCTGGAGGCCCAAGGTTGGGGACCACTGCCTTAGAGTACATACACCTTTTTACTGTATTAAACCCAATGCACTCCATGTTACAGAAGACAGTAGTACTGTACTGGGTCTGAGATGTTTATATATCTACACAGACTACAATTTACAATATACACAATAAGCCAATTCAGTGTCCAAAGTAATTGCAACAAATTTAGACCAACCTAACTCTTGATTTATTATATTACTCTATTTTCATGAGGGATGCAAAGAATACATGATGATCTGTAATGTATTATCTTTTCATATTGATAAAATGGAACATACAGTGAAAGAATCCCATTTTGAAATTAATTGTGCATTCTAGCTTAATCATTTATCAATAGGAGTGGAATTTGAAAAAATAAATGTTGTTTGTGTAAATGGCTTATGTCAAGAATATTTAATTCAATGCAGTTAAAGCATGTAAATGAAAATGCTTTATTTTGTACAACAGAACTCTTTCCTATCTGATCACACTTCACTTTTTCCTGTGTTTTTATTGTTAATTTATAAAACAAATAAACAATGAAACCCTGCATGCAGATTAAGATGATGTGCACTAGCACTTAATTTTGACCATTTTTAGAAACTGAAGACAAAATGTTGCAGCCAGGTATGAGCTAGGGGCCCTTCTTCAAAAGAAGATGCTACAGTATTTTTTTAATTGGCTCTGGGGTTGTTTCAAATTCAGTTCAGAGTGTGCTGATAAAGTGCTAACCAGTTTTGGTTTGGAGCATTTAACAGACTCTCTGCTTCTGTACGGTCCTGCAATGACTACATGATCATTTATTAAATTTGCCCAGAAAAAATGAGATCTGAGATACAACAGTAACTACAGTATAGACTTCCGTTGTTTAGGATGAGTATAACTATAATTTCTAGAATATGATCCATCTTCTGTCCATAAATTTTAAATCAACTATGGTGATCATGGGGAAAGACAACTTGTAAAAGTTGGCACAGTCCCAATTATCCTTTCAACCAAAATGAAAACAAAAATGGTGACAAAAGACAATGCATTAATAGCAAAATAAAATCATGGTAGAAATAAAATTCCTGAACAATCTGAAAAGAAGCAATGAAAAATGACCAGAACAAAAATATCTGAACATTTGCAATTATTTGAAGTCATTGTATATTCAAACCGTAGTTAATATTATAAATTCTTTCAAAATTCTGTCCATCTTTCTCATTTAATTTTTAAAATCCTTAGTTACTGATTTGTTGTGATTTTTTAAAACTATATGTTTTGAACAGAACAGTTTGGATATCTGTTTTGATAGCCTTCAGTTCCTTCATTTGTGTGCTCTGCTATACTTTACCAATCTGAATGTCCACCTTAATAAAATAATTCATTTGATTAGCATCCAGATTCTTGTGTTTTTTATCTCCACCTAAATGGCTTGATTACACACTGCAAATCAGCATGACAATCTTGCTGTGATAGTATATGCAGCTGTATCAAAGTTTTTGTTTGTTTCTGATATTTTAAGCAATTGTTTGGAATACGTTTCTGTATTGAATCAGGGGGTGGACTACATGGCCAGCAAGCATCCAACAATTCTGTGATTCTATGCACACATTGGTAAAACACACTGCACTGAAAGAACACTCATGCATATGATACTACCAACACTGCTTCTTTGCAATGTTTCATTAAGGCATGCATACGAATCAGTAACACAATGTAGAGAAAATGGAAACGAACTGAGAGCTGGTGTAAACTGTGCCTATTCCAAATCCAAAATTAATTTTAGAATTTTTTCCAGTTAAACTAGAACTCGGAATAAAATGCTGGAAGAACAATAAAGGGTGAGAATTGGGGAAGCACTTTCATTTTTAATTTTAATAAAGCCAAGTTATTTGCAACTACAGGTAGTTATATTTTACATTCCCATCAATGATTTTTTTTCTTCTTCACTGTGAAAATTTAATACATAAGTACGCTTTGTGGCAGGATCCTATTTTCTTGTTACTTTTGAAATCAAGGAACATAAAGCAGATAATTTAAAAAACACACAGAGAGAGAAACAAATCACCAGATCATGATCCATTAGCATCACAGCCTTTGGTAATGAACAATTTACTCACCCCAAAATAAAGAAGAAAACATACTGTAATGATATTGTAAGATAACATAATACTTTGCAGTTACGATTCCAGAAGAAACTGGAAGATTCTCATGTGTTATTAACCTGGCACTTTCATGTCCAGTGCCACTCTTATGCAATTACTTTGTAACCATATCCTTCCTGCATCCTTCCTTAATCATGTATTAGACTTCCTTCCAAAAGGATTGGTGGGAACAGAGGAAACAATAGGCAAACTTACATTAGAAATTCACAGTCCAAGAGCCACATGGGAGTATGAGTTGCCAATGAAAGATAAGCATATAATGGCACAAAATCAGATCAGGTAACATGATGAAACATGAGACAGGCAACACAATGAAACAGAGCTAGCAACCCACCCCAAATACAGCCCTTTAATATTTTACATTAAAATTTAAAATCTATGAATTGTACAATGGTCCTTCCTTTACATTTACTACAGTCTTCCCATCTGATTTATACTGATCCAGGTAACTTCGTCATCTGCACTGACAAATGCAAAATTAATAGCTTTATTTATCAGAAGGATATCAGAACATAAAAAGAAATATTATCTAAGTTCTGACAAATGATTCGGAGAGAAATCTTGATCATATATTTAATGTCTTCTAACCATTTGAAATATTCTGCAGTTATTATTCAGATGGTGCAACAAACTGATTATATTTCCTTAAGGTAAAATTTGTGGAAGGAATACAATTTCATGTTGGGTATACAGACTGCACTGCATTGTTATGGGCACTCATTGAAAAAGTCTCTCTCCCACCCACCTACCCACTATCATTTTTATAAATATTTTCTTTTAAAAACTGATGTTGAACATTGGCCTGTTGCAACAAAGCTCAAATATGTATTCCTTTTAAAATATTTTTGAAGTAGCAAATATTAGCAAATATATCCCTTCTTTCTGTTGCAAAACGTTCCTTGAAAGCTATATTATCCTATTATTGAAGAAAAAAGTCAATCGTCACACTCTTCAAAAGAAAGTGGCAAAGAAAGTACTTGCATATCCAATACAGGGAGACTATAGCTCTCTTGTTAAAGGTTGCCTTCCTTCCTTTATATGGGAAACTGATATAACACATGAGTACTAGCTAGCTCTGCATTAGTACTAGTATCAGGACGTGTCAACGGAGAATGTGAGATTGTTATGGTCTGAAATAGTCTAAACAGCAAAATACAGTACTTCAATATTCTTCATATAGTAAAGCTTTAGTTTAAGGAACCAGTTAAATGCAATTTTAATCATGGAAAGACAAGGGAAAAAAGCTTAATCAATTTGAAAAGAATGGAAAGCATATTCAACTGGCAGACAGATCTTGGCTTCTCTCTCTCTCTCTCTCTCTCTTATTATTCCCTGGAATAGGCTGCAAGTGCATATATGCTCTGCATGAAAGAAGGATGTGGGTGGCTTTTGGAACCAGACATGCATTCCTGAAGAAAAAATAAATATAGACATTGATAAAAATATGCTTAGTATAAAACAGCCCTGCATTTGGCTTTCAGAAAGAATGTTAAAAGGACATTATTGTCAAACACGAGGGAGCAAATTCTTCACCATCTAAGGTCAGTAGGGGGATCACCCAATTCAAAGAAAGGAAAGAAGTGTATTTGGATCATGATCATTTTTGACAAATGGGGAAAAGTAGACTAGACTGAGTCCTGTACTCTCATAAGCCCTTGAAAGTAGACTATTTAAAATATATATTTATATATATGTCAAGGTTTCTCTTTTTAGTACTACTTAGTTATATTATTGTGATTCTCATTGATTCCTTTGATTCTGTTCCTTCAATAAAACTAAGGTAACACAGTACACAGCTACAACTTTTGTTTGTTTGATTGATTGATTGATTTTGCTTGCTTGTTTGTTTGTTTGTTTGTTTACTAACTTATTTACTTACTTAACTTACTTGCTTTTTAATTTATAGAATTTCCAGGACGGGTCATAAAAATGGTAAGGTTCCATAAAATACCATAAAGCAGAACAAAAGTTGCATAGAAAGGTCTTCAAAATCATCAGAACTCTGATTATTCAATGGGAAAGCTCCCCCAAAATTTCAGAGCCTTGATTACTGTATTCACTTGGAAAATAAACAACAAGGTCTTTGCTTTACGCTGGAAAAAACACTAGATTTGTGACCAAAGAAGTCTCTCTTGGAAAGGCAATCTACATGCAAGGTGCTGCAACAAAGAACTTATATTCTTTTGTCTGGAATGATTTTTAGTGTACTGGTCATCATTCAACCCATCACTGATCAATGACACCAGTTGAGCATTTTTCTCCTTAAAAAGGGAATGGATCTGATGGTTATCAGTATACTGATAGCACATCACTCCACACCTTTAGATATTCTCACTTACGGTAATAATTTCATACTAATAAGGAAAAGCATGGGATGCCACAGGACCTCATAACATAAATGTTATGTTAATGCCAAGCAGTATTCTCGCAACACCATCTTCTGGAAACAGCAATCAAAGTAAGAGAATAACCACTGCAATGCAGTGCCCCGAGCCTAGACAGTTTACCCAGAAACGTAGCATGATTTGTTGTATATCCTTTTCTTTCATCCCAAACTGACAAGAAACAAAAAGATATAATGAATACCAGTCATGACCCCTTACTTCATATGAAGACA